AATTATATAAAATTTATTGAAAAAATTAAATATAAATATTTTGTAGTTGGATTATCATATAATAATTTTATATAAAATTATAAAATTGTAAAATAACCACTCTTAATTAAATTAAAATTGATATGATTTACAATGTTTAATTGTAAAATATTTAAATTTTCGATGTTTACAACATAAAAGTGATATTGGATTTGTGAATTATCTGAATTTATGATAAAATATATATATATAAAAAATATTTCTCAAATAAAATTATATAATAGAAATATTTTTTAAAAAATTACATCAGCATGTACATGGAAATAGATGTACACTTCTCCGAGAGTACTAAAGGAGAGGGAAACAGTGGAAGGCTGTTGATTTTATTGATTTATTGAATGAATTTGGTACTTGATTGGAGTGTTGTAGATGGAACACAGATGTGATTAGGGTGTCAAATGAATCGAGTCGAGTAGAATTTTGTTGAGTTTGAATTTGGCTTTTTTATTTATCAATTTTATTTATTGAGCTCGAGTTCGGTAAGGAACTAGACTCGAGCTTGATTTGACTCGTTAATATTGATGAAACTCAAGTTTGGTTCGGTTCAGCTCGATAATTTTTTAATATTATTGATATTATTTAAATTATTAATATATAAATAATATATTTATTATATAATTTAAATAATGATAAACGAGTCGAGCTTAGCTCGAGCTCGGCTCGTTTACTAAACGAACCTAATATTCGAGTTCGAGCTCGAGTTCGGCTTGTTTACTAAACGAACCAAGCCGAGCCAAACTTATTTATGAATAGTTCTGTTCATTTACAATCCTAATTTGTTGGGCAATTGGGGTCTGTAAACGTTGAGTGGATTATAATCAATATAATCACCCTTTAAAAAAAATACTCTCCAATTCATTAATAATCTGAAATTCATTAACTCTTAACAGAGAAAGTAAGCCACAACTTTATTTTGGGGTTGAGAGAGAGATTTATAATCTGGCTTTGGGCCGTGGAGGGAGCCAGACAGAAGATGGCCGAGCATGTTTGGGCCGAGCTAACTTGGGCCTGATCAGAGTAGGATTTGCTTGGTCGAGGCTCGCCCCTGTTTAGGCCGAGCTAACTGGGGCTTCCTTTGAGATGATCTTGCTCGGTCCAGGCCTAGGTCTGAGGTCCAGGTCCCATGTTTGGACCGAGCTTCCCCAGATTTGAACTTGCTCGGCCAAGGCCTGTCCCCGAGGTCTACTTAGCTGAGATGAACGTCTGCTATCGGGTTTTGTGGGAGCATGATTAGCTCGGTGGGAAAAATCTTCTGAATGCCAGTGTAACCTGTTTGGAACTCGGTCCTGCCGGAGTACTACCGAGCTCGACTGCTATGGAGCTCGACGAGTGGAGCACTCGGGCACGTTACGCAGCACGGTCGTGGAAAGCCGAGGTGATTCCGCCGGACTGCCGAGTTCCTGCTAATGTAGCCTGACGGTTGGGTTAGGTGGTGATTGCTGGATTTGTGCTGACAAATTGGAGAGCAGCACCACGTGTCAAGAGACTAATGGGTGCAGAGTGGAGCGCAGAAAGTACATAAGCGTGACTGCGCCCCCATGCTGGATATAGAACATCGTTTGGTGAGATAGACTTACATTCAGTGTGTTTCTCTCTCTCTCTCTCTCTGAATGTGCGCTAACTTGACCGTTGGAGGGGTTTCCGGCAACACACCGCCGAGTAGCTCACTGCTGTTGTGCTTTCAAGTTGATCGGACAGACACGGAGTTTGGACGAAAAGAGTACGGACTGCGACGAATATTTGCTCCCCGTACAAGAGTGATTTAGAAAGTTGGTTAACAATTGATTTTTTTAATTTTTTTTTTATCTTTTTATAAGTAAAAAATATGAGAGATAATATGATCCAAAATAAATTAAAAACTAAAAACTAACTTTAAACCAGCATGCCAAATTACTACTTAAGGCCCCGTTTATTTTCAGAGGTAGAATGAAGGAGATTGATGGTGAGAGGATTAAAGAGTGGTTTGGGATGTCCTAAATAAGTGTATTTTTTGACTTTTTATAAAAAGATATGTAGAAAAGTAGAGAGGAGATATTGATTGATGTGACTTAAAAAAGATAAAAAAAATGGACTAAAATAGATTATGCCAAACAAGGCTTAAGTAAAATTGTGTTTGTTTTGATGATAGTTATTAGTGTAGGAATTGTTAAATTATTTTTATATAAAACAATAAAACAAATAAAAAAATATAAAAAATTAAACATTAATATTTAAAAAAAAATTCTAAGGATATCCATTTAAACTTGTCTAAAAAATTAAAAATAATTAAAAATTTAAAAAAAAACATTTTAAAAAACAAATAAAAATTAAAGTTAAAAAATTTTAAAAATTTAAAGTAAATGAATTAGTTGAGTTCAATTGTCCAATCCATATCTAATTCAATCCAACTCATTTAAACCCATTTATTTAAATTGACAGGTTTTGGTTGGGTTACTTTTAAATGAATAACTTATTTTGACTTGCTCAAACTCGTTCATTAATTTGTCAACTCTACAAAAAAATATAAATAAATGCTTTTTCATTTTTTGAAAATTGTAAAAGGTTGTGCTTAAAAATAGGTTTAGAGTGTGTCTAGTATTTTAGCCAAAAAATTTAAGCAGTGTTTAGAAATTGTTTTTTAGTTTTTATTTTTTATTTTTTATGAAAATACGTACAAAAAATAGAGAGAATGCTATAACAATTTATAGTAACTTTCTAAATAAAAATTATAATTTCCAAATAAGGGTTAAAATAGTTAAAAAGTTAAAAAAAATATTAAAAAAAGTTAAAAGTTATAAAATAAATAAATAAAAAGAAGAAGTAATTCTTTTTCATAATTTTTTTTTTTTTTTTTTTTTTTTTTTGAATGAAATGGCGTTTCTACTACCAACCAAAGTCCCCAAATAGACCCTTAGTGGTGCTTGGCAGCATAGTAAAAAAAAACAATTTCTATTAAAACCATCAAATTTTTTTAAAAATCATTAAACCATTTGTCATCAATTTAAAAAAGGGGAAATTACATCTCAATGAGACAATTTTTTTTTTTTTACATAAATATGGAGGGGTGCAACTCACACTTGCACACCCCATTACAAAATCACTTATACTCCACATATTTTTGTAATTTTTTTTTGTCTCATCATACTGTAATTCTCCCTTAAAAAAAAGTCAAATGTCCCGTCAAATATTTTATTAAAAAAATAGTAAATTACATAGCGTTGTAGGAAAATGATATTTCATAATTTCACCCACTTTTTAACCTTTCGCATTTCTTTTTTGTCATCTTGCTTCTCATAGTGGGAATGTGAGAGGCCAAAAGGGGGTCTGTGAATATTTTTTCCTTGTATACATATCCATGGTTTTTGGGTGTCAAAATCTCACTTTTATGCTTACTCATCCACTTGTTCCGTGATGTTTGGCAAGAGCTTTCTTCTCGGGTTCCTTTAGATAAATAATAATGGTGATGATTACTATGACAAGTAATAGATCAAATAAGGACGGACTGTTGTTGAAAGTCTATGATTTCTATTTTATCATTGTTTGTATTTTCACTGAAGGCAGGCATATATGGTTTCAGATCTTCATTAATCTCTAATTTCTTAATTGCCCAAGAGTGTAGAGCAAACAAAAATTGAAATGATTGTTGGTCTATGTATTGCTAGTTGCATACATTGTTGATTTTTTTGGGTTTATTTTTAGTTTGATTGTTGTGGTCTTTCTTTCACAACTTCTTTAAGTCATGTGGATACAAATTGTCTTCTTGTATGAGAATAAAGCCCTTCTTGTTGCTTGTGTAATGCTTGTTCTAAGTCTGCGTAATGACAGTTAATTTTGTAATATTTTTTTGCTCAGTAGTTAATTTGTGTAATTATGGAATGTGGAAGAGGAGTATATAGTGTCTTTCTTGAACGTCAACTGAGAGAAATCAGAAAAATCATTGTCATTGGTAGAAAGTGGGAGCAAGTTACTAGAGGATTTCATCAGTTTGGGGAATCGACAATGTAGTAGTCCTTATCTGTAATCTTTCCTGAATGGCTCGTTAGGGCGATCAACAACTTTTGACTTTCATCATTTTTTAGATGATTTTCCATTTATTGTACAGCAGAGGCTCTTTCGAAGAACGCCCATTTATGGTTTAGAAGTGTATGTGGCATGGTAATGGTAGCTTCTTCAGCAACACCCATGTCACGGCCTAGGCTATCTGTGAAATTCTGATTAATTTGCAGATGAGCAGTCACAACAAGAATGTTCTAAACTCATAGGATGCTGCTTGGAATTTAGAACTCCGGTCTGGTGTATGAAGGTACTATAGGGAGTATTGAACTTCTCTATGATTGTTTGTATGAAAGGGAAGGTATAAAATAACAACTTTATGAAGTTTATTAGTTCAAAAATGCTATGAATATTTTTGAACCCACCCTTATCAACTCATAATTTATTTCGAATGTGTTTGTGTGGTAGAGATTAAATTGATAAAGTGTGAGTTCCATGCGTAAAATCAATTTGAACCATTGATTTTTTTTTTTCTTGAGCATATTTTGGAAATTATTCAATACTCCCAGAGCACCACGCGTCCATACTCCAAACAAATCACTAATTATTTAGCCCCATGTTGTTCCTCCATCCCCAACATAAATTGTGAGCCCTTATGCCTCTCCACCAATCAAAGCCTTATAGAGCACTATGTATCCATACTCTGGAAGTACTAAATAATCACCCGTAAATTCTGAATTCATAAGTCTAAATTTGTAATCTTGTTATTATTAGTTTTGTAAAGTCACTAGTCAAAGTTGCGGGGTCTATACGCATCCTTGACTTTTTGTCATAAGAGGAAGTTCTTACATTTAGCTAAAGAAGACTCTAAGAAATTGTAACCAATAAGTGAGAAAGTCAAGTGCATGGAATTCAAGTTTTATTGGACAGGTATGGTATAGGTTGTTGAGGCTTTATATTACTATATGCTGTTTGTGGGTATTTTATCTCACTATTTTTCATACAATACCACTTACACTATTATGGTCTTGGAGGAAGTTGGAAATAGTCTTTGGGAATGAGCTTTCTTCCTAGTTTCTTTTATATATTTGAATACTTCAATTGATGATGACATCCATGGAAAATCAGACTAGAAGTATTGCATAAGGTATTGCAAAGTCTGTTTGACTTGGTATGTTTTCAGTGTGTTGAATCTTATCATTGTTATATATTGTTACTGAAGGCATATATGGTTCATATCTTCATTCCCAGAAGGCCGAAGATTTCTCTTCCCTGTCTTTGTAAGTTATAGCATTTGGTGTCTGTTTATTTATTTTTATTTTTATTTTTTTCACAAAGTGATAGTTCTAATTGTTGGAGAAAATATCAGAAACTAAACAATATTATTGATAAATGATGCAAAGAAAATGAGATACAAATAGATCAGGCTGAGGCACGGATATCTCGTTTTTCTTTAAGGAGATCAAGCCCACTGCGGTAGGAAGAATCCAAATACCGATGCAGCAGTCACAATACTATGACTTGTCCCCTCCAGGATACAACAGCCCGACCACTTGTCGTATGGTTCAGGCCAACTCTGCACAAGATGGTGAACCCAAAGCTCCACTAATAAAACACCCTTCTTTGCTAGTAATCTCTCTTGTATAGAAAATAACTTATCTCTATAGATAGAAAAGAGTAGACTATATATATAGGCTATAAGGACCTTACAGTTACACCAAAAATAATGACCATTAAACAAGAAAATGGTTACACCAAAATAATGACCATTAACCAGGTTCATGAATTCTATTAAACCTCTATTTATGACCAAGAGGTTACCAAAGTAATAAAACCCCATTTATGAAAAAGATAAACCAATAAATAAATATAAGATATTAAAATGGTCCAACACTAATCATAGTTGCTCTCATTTTCCAAAGCAGGCTTTGTTGCCATAACATTGCCTAGAACTTATGGGGTGTGGAAGAGGACTGTTATCATTGTTCTTCAACAACACAAGACCGAAGAAACTAGAAAGTTCGCCGTCAGTCTCAGGCAATGACAGCAAGATATTAGAGGAGCTCATCACTTCTTCAAATTGCAAATGTAATGTTCCTGCCCGTGTTTTCTCTGCCGAGGAGCTCATTAAGGCAACAAACCACTTTTCTTGTCATAACATGGTTATTGAAGACGCTTTTTATTCTGTGTACGAAGGCTCTTTTGAAAACCAATCAATTTTGGTTAAGAAGTATAGAAAAGAGGATTGCTTTTGGCCCTCGGACAAGATCAAATCCTATGCTATTCGTGACATAGAGATAACATCACAGATGTGCAGCCACAAGCATGTTCTGAAGTTCATAGGTTGTTGCCTAGAACTCCAGTTTTCGGCTCTAGTGTACGAATACAAAGGAAAAATTCAATTTCTCTCTCATGGCTTGCATGAAAGGGTCCCGGGTTCGGTGCATAATGGATCATTATCATGGAAAAGTAGGTTGAGTATTGCAAATGACATTGCTAGTGCCCTTGTGTATCTCCACACTACATTTTCTACACCCATCGTCCACAGGAATTTAAAACCAAGTAATTTTATCATTGACCAAGGCGGAGTTGCTAAACTCTTGGATTTCTCGTTATCTATATCGATTCCTCTGGGAGAATCTCAAGTAGAAGATATGGTGGTTGGGACATGTGGGTTTGCAGAGCCTGAGTACATGGCCACGGGCATTCTTACTACGAAGACTGATGTTTATGGTTTCGGCGCAATCCTTCTTGAAATTTTGACAGGACAAATGTTTGTGGACGTTAACCATGGAAAAAATCATGGTCTTTTAGGTAATTTTGTGAAAGACCATGTAAACAAAGGTAAGTTAAATGAAGTTGTGAATCCTAGAATCATGGCAGAGGGAGGAGGGATTGAGCAAGAGAAGCAATTTCGAGCTTTTGTAGCAATTGCCTTGAAATGTACCCAAGAAAAGAGAGAAGATAGGCCGGAAATGATCGATGTGGCAGAAGAACTTAAGCGAATTCAGAGGTCTGTTGACACTGATCATTAGCTCTACCATAAACTCATTACAGAAGGATGGCTTTGATTCATGTCATGCATAGGCACCAATTTGTATGTTAGTTGTAAGATAAATTGATAGAGAGAGAATTATAGAGAGAATAAATTGTATGTATTCAATTGATTGATTATTCAATGATTTACAACACTCTCATTTATAGAGAAGAAAGATGGTACCATAGGATACTAACTAACTAACACCGAAAGCAGAAACATTAATATTAGTGGGACAGCTGGACAACTAGATATTGCACACTAATATTACATTATTGCTATATTATACTAATAACACTAACAGCTCCCCTCAAACTCAAGGAGGATAGGCACTAACCAACTTGAGTTTGGAGAGAGTAACAAAATAAGAAAATAAACTGACAAATAAAATAAAAGTGGATAGGAGACACTATATGGTCATGTCAGACCGTTGGTAAAGACACTGTATGGTCGTGTCGAACCGTTATAGCAGACAATGTTAGGATAGTTTACGGGGTCATGCCGGACCGATGTAGAAACTAATCGGAATCAATGTCGGGACAGTTTACGGGGTCATGCCGGACCGTTGTAGAAGCTAATCGGAATCAATGTCGGAACAGTTTACGGGGTCATGCCGGACCGATGTAGAAGATTTTGGCGGTGCACCAAGGGCGCAACTTAGGGAGTGTGCCATGGGGTGGCTTGGGTAGTTCCCATGGTGTATAACCATGCTCACCAGCTTGGGTGGTTCACATGGTGTGTAACCATGCTCACCATGATATATGTATAACCCCCCCTCAAACTCAAAAAGGTGTGAGGATAGAAACTTATTAGAGGTTGAAACAAAGGGATTGATAAAGTACAGCAAAACAGCTCAACACAGTGGAGATGGTAAAAAAAAAAAAAAAAAAATCAGCCATCATTCAGTAATGCAGTGGCTAAAGAGAAATATTAAAAGAGAATGGTGGAAAGAAAAGTTTAAAAGAAATGATGGGAAAGAAAAATAAATGTCGGTATTTAAAAAAGTGTAAAAGTAGTTTGGAGAAAACAAATAAAAATAATTGATTTTGAAATCAAACGTGATAGGAGGAGAGAGAGGGGACAAGCCCATGTGATAAAGTGGAGAGAGAGCTGGGTATGCATATGAGCATGTTTTGTGCTGGTGGAACTGGTTTTGATACATGGAGGTAGTGGAGAATTATTTTATTGGAGAGGGGAAGGAAGTGGGAATAATGAGAATAAAAAAAAAGGAGGGTGAGCATGATGAGGCACTGATCTGGACAAAGAGATACACACATGGGCAACTCTTGAGGGCGTTGGGATCCTTTAGAGTAATCTCCTAGAGTGATCTCGTACAGTGAAGGAGTGAAGCTTGACACGTGTCCTACTTAGCCTTTAAGGGCTGAGATTCAAACTCACCAAAACGACGTCGTTTTGGTGAGCAAATTGAAAAAAAAAAATAAAATAAAAATAAAATTAAAATTGAAGGTTGAATCCCTGTGTAACAAGAATGGCAGCAACATCTCCATCTTTGGAGGGTGGAGAAAAGAAGCAATATTGGTGGCTTAGCAACAGAAAGGTATTTCAAACACCTTGATGATGATGATCAGGTGAGTAAATTGAATAAATAAATAAATAATTCAAAAAAAATTCAAAGGTTGATGTTAGATTCTTGTGCAACAACATTAAAGGTATTTGAAACACCTTGTTGATGATGATGATGATCAGGCAAGTAAATTGAAAATAAATAAATAAATAAATAATTTCAAACCCTGTGCAACAACAGCAAAGGTGTTTCAAACACCTTGATGATGATGATGATGATCAGGTGAGTAAATTGAAAAAAATAAAAAATAAAATTTCAAAGGTTGATGTTAGATCCCTATGCAACAACAATGGCAACAAAGGTATTTCAAACACCTTGATGATGATGATGATGATCAGGCGAGTAAATTGAAAATAAATAAAAAAATAAAAAAATTCAAAGGTTGATGTTAGATCCCTGTGCAACAACAATGGCATCAAAGGTATTTCAAACACCTTGATGATGATGATGATGATCAGGTGAGTAAATTAAAAAAAATAAATAAATAAATAAAATTCAAAGGTTGATGTTAGATCCCTGTGCAACAACAATGGCTTAGCAAGAGAAAGGTATTTCAAACACCTTGATGATGATGATGATGATCAGATCGCTACATTTCGTTTCGTGATTTGCATTCAATCCCTAACATTTATGTATTTTTGCACAGAACGTCCTTGAACTGCCAGAGATGAAGAACCGAACGACCTTTGAGTTCTTGAACAGCCTCTGTAAAAAGCAACCAAGAAGGGCAATGGAGGTACATACTAACTCTGAAGGAAATTTGATTTTTTTTTTTTTTTTCAATTGTGATTTTAAATCTCAGCCCTTAAAAATTGAGTAGGACATGTGCCGGGCTCCTCTGCTGTACTGTAGGAGATCACTCTAGAGGGTTCACTCTAGAGGATCCTAACGCCTCTTGAGGCTGCGTTAAAAATTGGAGTAGTGGGGAACAGAAACAGTGTGCAACGCACTGTGCACCATCCCACTTCACAGAACAAAAACAGTGTTTGGGAAAGGGTCTAAAAGACCCACAGATGATAAAGAAAGAAATAAAAAAAAGAAAAGAAAAGAAGAACGGGTTTGTGGAGGAGCTGTAAGCGACGATGAGTCCAATGCCTTGGTTGTTTGTAAACCGATGAAAACAAGGAAGAGTCCGATTCCAGCAATGGAGGAGATTCGGACTGGTTTTGAAATAACTTGAGCAAATGTTGTGCACAACCCAACTGATGAAATGAAGAGGAAGATCAACCCTTCGGTGAACACGGCTGCAAGAGCTCCCTTATAGGAGAGATGGCCAGAGCCACGGAAACCCACTAGATTGTAAGCAAAGTAAACATTGCTCCCCCTGAAATTTTGATGCAAATGAAGGGCCTTGATTTGCTGCAGGACTTCTTGAAGAAATCCGCATCGGGCATATGAAAGACTATCGAGACAGTGGGCGGTATCAGCCGTCGGATCAACGACAAGAGAGAGCAAGGGGCTCTAGCAGATTGCCTGGAGTTGATGGAGCTGTCAATGGATAGAGTGATGGACTCTGTGGTGGCAATTGAGAAAAGGACAGCCAAGTCACATTCGGATGCCCATTCATGGCTCAGAAGTGTTCTCACCAACCATGTTACTTGCCTAGACGGGTTAACAGGATCGGCCTGGTCCATGATAGAGCCTGAGCTCAAAGACATGGTGGTAAGATCTAGAGCTTCTCTATCCATGGTGGTTGCAATATCACCACCGGAGGATGATGAGTTGAGTAAACACCTTAAAGTCCTCGTTTTGAGCACTACACAAGAAAAGGGTTTAGTGGCAGCGGAGTTCTGCTATGGAATGGAATTTGTGGCAGCGGAGTGAAGATATGTGTAGAGGTCCAGTTGGCGGCCAAGGTGAGGCTGCCATCCGCCGGTGAAGCAGAATTACTAGGTTAAGAACCGAGCTTTGATACCATGTAAGATAAATTGATAGAGAGAGAATTACAGAGAGAATAAATTGTATGTATTCAATTGATTGATTATTCAGTGATTTACAACACTCTCATTTATAGAGAAGAAAGGTAGTACCATAGGATACTAACTAACTAACACCGAAAGCAGAAACATTATCATTAGTGGGACAGCTGGACAACTGGACAACTGGATATTGCACACTAATATTACATTATTGCTATATTATACTAATAACACTAACATTAGTAGTGCAAGCTGTGTCACACATCTTGCTTTGTTACCTAGTTGTCATCTTATATGTTGGTTATTAATAATTTTAGTTAAATAAATTTAATCATAATTTTACCCAGAAAGACGTAGTGTGCTGTGGACTATACTCAAAATTAATCTTATCTATATATTTCAATTATAGGTATATATATATTAGGCATGTAGGTTATTTACTAGTTTAGGCATACATCCATTCCCCAGATTCTGAATCATGTTGGATGCCTGATATGATATGTAGTCAGTACTGTGTTGGTCATTGTTGAATTTTGATGACAAAGCCCACTAGTCTTTGCATTGAGAAAGTATAGTGCATGCCCCATAGGGCAGGGGTGCAGGTGGGAAGTGGGGTAAAAATTTGCAAATCATTGCAAAATAAGCACGGAAATTTTATAGCAATGGATAAAAATGCTCAGCTCTTTAATTTCTTTTGAAAACCTTGCGACCCCCTCGTTTGCCATCTGCTGCAACTTCCTCTGCCCTCCCTCGCCATTCCTACCACTTCCCCATCTTTCGCTGCCCAACCCCGATAACCTCCACCCCTATACTTTCAAACCTTTCTCACCCACTCCCCCACTCACCTCTGCACCCCAAGCTATTCTCCTCACCCAACGCAACGCTCTAGTCAATCCAAACTCTAGCTAACAGCACCACCCAAAACCCTCCATGACTCTGAATTAACTCCGCACCCTTTCTATTATTTGAAATCACACTAGTACCCCTCGTTAACTAACACCATTTGGTGCAATGGTGAAATATCGATAATATCAATTAATGTGTTTGGTTTCAATTTTTTTAAAATTGAGTTTTTTTTGTTTTTTGTATTTTTTTTAATGAATATTTTTAAAAGGGGGTTTTTTTTAAGGTCCCTAGTATAATGATTTTATAGCATAAAGGACACTAAATATTTTTATAATGTTTAAGGTTCCTCAACATCAATCTAGAGAAAATTCGATCCAGAGAAAATTCAACCAGAGAAAATTCAATCCAGTGAAATTCTTTGGTTCAAACCCAGAGAAAATTCAATTTAATCCAGAGAAATTCTCTGGTCCAAACCAGAGAAAATTCAATTCAGTCAAATTCTTTGATCCAAAACCAGAGAAAATTCAATTTAATCCGAGAAATTCTCTGGTCCAAACCAGAGAAAATTCAATTCAGAGAAATTCAATCTGGTTGAATTTTCTCTGGGTTGGTCCAGAGAAATTCTCTGGTTTGGTCCATAGGAGAAATTTGAACAACCAAAGATATATACCTAGTGTCAGTGGTTCTGCCATTTCCATCTTTATTTTCTTACTGTTGGTACAATTATTAGAGTCTTGAATTTGAAGCTGTGATTTCAAATCTTCCACTTTGTTTTTGTAACTGAAAATAATAACTGATGTGGGTTTTATACTTTTTTTTGCATAATGGACCTTACATAGATGGTTTTGTTTCTTTGTGCAGGAAATTGAGAATGAGAAACTAATGTTAGAACATGTTCATATTTTAGAGGAGAACAGTGGTTTACATGTACAGAATAAAAAATTGTCTGAAGAAGCTTCTTATGCAAAGGAACTGGCCTTTGCTACTGCTGTTGAGTTAAAGAATTTGGCTGGTGAAGTCACAAAGATCTCTCTACAGAATGCAAAACTAGCTGAATAAAAAAACAGAACCTGCAGA